CCTTTTGATTAAGTTCTACTAATATCAGCTTAACCCTCTGAAATTGACGTCAAAATCTGTAACACAGTTACTGATACGCTGGGACATATAAATTTAACAAAGTAAATTAAATGGGTCTGTGAGATCCATTAATTTACTCTGTTAAATTCATAATGTCAGATTATGATACTTTTGAAACTTTCACAGGTGTTTTCTTCAGAGGTGTCAAAGTAAAAAAAAATGTTAGATTATACCTAATTCGAGTTATTTTTAATATTTCTATAGGTCACCGCTGTATTTACTTAATATAATTAATTTTATTAAAACAATAGAGTTAATTTAACTAAAACAATGGAGTTAAACAATTGAATTCAAGCAACTGTATTAAATTTGACACAAATTTAGTTTACACTAAAATGCGAACAGTTAATTTACACTTACTAAGTGCATATATATTAATATGGATGTTATTTATTTTAAAACTACAGAAATGGATTTGTTTACATTTTGATACATATGAAAGTTAAAAATAACAAGATATTATTTAACCTTTCGAATAAATGCTAATTTCTGAGCATGTTTCTAAGTGGTGCGAGAGGTTGACTCTAAAAAATTTTTCTGTGTAACAACATGTTTATGACATTAAAAATTATATTAAAATACAGTAAATACATCAATGCCTAAAAAAAATATGGTACAATATCATTTATTTTTATTTATACGATATATATATATATAGAATATCTTTGAAATTATAATTATAATGAAACAATTATTATCTATAGTTTTTGTATTTTAATTCTTGTACAATTCTTGTTATTGCACAACTCTGTAAATAACTTAAATGTTATTAAAAATTTATATTAATTTTTCTAGTTGTAAATGAAAATTATTTCTTGAAAGTAATTATAAAATAATATTTCCAAGAAAGAGGAACGAATAACTTGCCGCAAGTAAATAAGATATATCTTTTTTAAAATTGTATATATTAGGCATTTATTTGTTTTAAACAAAAATTATTAAATCTTATAGTAGAATTATTCTGAAAATATCATTTTAAGGTGAACGATTCGCCTCGCTTGAGAGTCGAAAGGTTAACTCAAGGGGGATTGAGTTATTATTGCACCTTTGATATTTAACCATGCATGTTAACTAAAAGGCATTAATTAATCTCAAGGAATCAAAATGACAACTATTGTATAAAAAAGAATATGTAAATATTAAGTTTATTTTAATAACAATAATGCAAATTTATAGGTGCAACATAAAAGATATAATTGAGTGAGTCCAATAGATACACGGGGGATTAATGATGACAAGTTAGATTTTTTATAATCTATGTTATAATAAACTTGTTACAATAAAATATATGAAGATCGTTAATTTTATGCAACTTTATTAACGAAAATTAGTATTGCTTTATCTAACTGAAGGTTTCAATTTCCTTGCCCTTACAGAGCAAGATGATGCATTTTCGATATAGGTAAGATTACAGTCAGCTAAGGATAACTCAATTTTCCAGTCATTAAGCGCGTATCTGCGCTATAAATATATCTATATCGGTATACATTTCCGACGTCACGCGGTATAATTATATAAAAATGTCGAACGTCACACTCTAAATTTTTGGGAGTGAAATTTCACTCCTAAAGAGTGATAGTTGCACCAGTTCGACAAGAGTGAAATTTTCACTCTTAAAGAGTGAAGAATCACTCCAAATGGGAGTCAATTTTCAATCTATGTGGAAAGTGAATAATTTCACTCTCCGAAGGGAGAGACTGAAATTTCACTTCGATAAATGTTAAGTTTAGCTCTTCTCTCTCTCTCTCTCTCTCTCTCTCTCTTTCTCTCTCTACCTACATCTAATCTAAAAATTATTATGCTCATTCTACGTATTTTTGTACAAAATGAACGAATATGGCGTCGCTCTGTCTCGCGAAACGAGATATTAATCATTAAAGTTGACTTTTTAAGTTAGATTAAGAAATTCACTGCTGAAGGAGTGAAGTGAAGTTCACTCCTTGCTGGACTGGCGCAACTATCACTTTTCTTGGAATGAAATTTCACTCCCAAAAATTTAGAGTGCATATCTCACAAATTTAGTATTTAATTCGCGGAACGATTTGAGGAAACTGCCGACTATGAATGCATTGGCCAAGAGCTATTGTCTTGTTTATGTTCCTCGCGTAATGTCCATCGCGTAACATTTTATTGGCGGCGTTATTCGTCCGTTTCGCAAGTAGATTAAAAGCGGAATTTGTGGCTCTGATATGTCACGCTGAAACGCCTCAAGTAGACAGGGATAAGAGGAATCTTCTCTCATGACTATCAAGTAAGGCGCTCGCTTCCTCGTCATCGCGACATAAGAATGGTTGCATAATCCGCTTCGCTGTTGTCCCATTCTTCCTTCTCGCGCGCTCTCTTAGTTTCATCTTTACAATCATCTTGTGCAGATTTTTACATTAGAAAAAATGCTTGGTTAACACTATAAGTACTAAACGGTTATTATTGACTGTTTTTATTTTTTAAATTAATATTATATTTTTTATATAAAAGATAGGATTCTGAACTTTTTTGACTTTCCAATATTTATATCTTTTTTACTGATAAAATATTTGATTTTTCATCACTGTCTTCATTTTTATAGTAACTTATTTCTTTGATTCTTTTAGTGTGAATAAGAAACAAATGATACTTGTAGTTAAATATTGTAATTTTAACAGTTGCCTCAATTTTCGTGAAATAAATTTACAAGGCAATAATATTTATCCATGTATCTTTATTAGAGAAATATTATTTCACTAATTTGATATTCGATATCCAGTTAAATATAGTTTGTAATATTTCATATTTTGCTAATTTGTACAGCTTTGAAATGAATATAAATCCTCATCATCAAATTGATGTAAATATCCTAATGAAAAATAAATTAAAAGCAATGAAAAATAATAATATTTATTTACTTTTATTACAATTTTAACATTTTAATTACAATTTTTTATTACAATTTTAATATCTATTATTACTTTTATTATAATTTTAATATTTTGTTAGTTTTTCTTTAGTTTTTATTACTGTTTTTTATATTAAATGCAATAAATTAAGGATGCTTTATATTTATAGCCTGTAAATTAAAGGCTGTATATTATTCAATATTCGTCATTAAATATTTTTCGACGATAGCTCTTATAGCTCCGGAAAAAAGTTATTGATCCGGAAAAGTATTGCTCTCACTTGAATTTATTTGTGTTTGAAAAATTAATATTTGACGAGTCTTTCGATTTAAAGCTTATAATCCGCATATTTTGTGGATGCGCGTTTTTTGAAAGAGAGAATTGACTCCTCCGGGAAACAATAATCAATCAAAGAAGCATGGCAAATTCTGTATTCGAGTATTGCGGTTTCTCCGTGCTGGATAAGAAATATCTCTCTGTTGGAATGAACATCTTGATGGAATACCAAGAGGGAGTCGAGATTCGCTGAGAGAGACGAATGGGCCGAGAGGCCTGAGCTCTCCTCACGAGACCGACTCTGAATTCGCGTTGATAAAAATTCTGTCAGGTCGATTAACGATCGTACGTGCCAGTTGGAACGTTGCCATTTGTATCGCGGAATGCTACATTGGGAGTTAGCTCTTTAACGGTATCTCAATATCGTTAGATCTTCGCCAGTCTCCGGCTTTCTTTTCGCATATGAAATACGTGGGGAGAAAGCGCAAATGTGGAAAAATAATAAATATGGCCAAATAACGTAAGAGAATTTATACGTGAAAATACAATTTGTTTTTTAAATATTGAAAACTCTTCCATCCTTGCAGAACACATTGTTTTCTACTGGACAGATTTTTATTTATATTTACATGTTTTTTGGATTGCTGATTACGAATCTAAAATCAAATGTTAAAAATTCAAAAGACAGATGCAATATGGAGAGCAAATTTTTTATATCAATGCGATTACTCAACTTACGTTTTTGAAAGTTTTTTTGGTCACTGATTATTATTATGAAAAAGTAATTTTTATAAAATGTTTTAGTATTAGATATTTTTATATTTAAATACTTATTCAGTCTTATATCACTGTTTCAAGTTTTGACTCTTTTGCGTTTGTCGGAAAGCAACAAAGATTTATATTGCGATTAAATCGCATATATGTATTTTCGTGAACATATAATGACTTGATAATTAATACTTAACAATCATAAAAATAGTCGTGGTGTATTGATCATCTAACAAGCAGTTGTACCTAAACATTATGATTCTCTTAAAGTACCTTAAAAGAGTTTAAGTATCTCATAAACGATCCTCTCATTAGTTCAATTGCCACTGTAGATTTTCGCGCGATGATATATGTGTCTTATAGTGTAAATCTTTGTCACAAAATACATACGTTTATTAATCTTTCGGAGCTGATGCCAAAATCTGTAACATAGTTATTAACGCTGAGTGTATAAAACTTATTCAATTTATGCAGTTAATTAAAACATATTAATTAATTTCAAGGAACCAAGATAGCATGTATAAAAGGAATTAATACTAATTGTAAGTATATTTCGATAAGAACAATCCAAATTTGCAGATGCAACACAAAGAAAATTTAATTGTTTGAAAGAGATTTATAATTGAGTGAGTCTAATAGATCCATCGCCAGCTCCGAAGAGTTAATTACGTGATACTTAACGCGAGTAGCAGTATGAATCATTGTGAACACATTTATTAACACAGTGTTTTTATTATTATCTAAACGTATTATTATCTACGTAAGAATAAACGAGGAATTGAAATTAAAAGAAAATATAGAAAATTATGAATATGAAACTTCATTATTAAATTGGTGATTAAATTCTATATATACAATCTTTCGCAAAAAACACTAATTTTCTTGAGAACATCTTTGATATGCTGTTAACAATGGAAACATTAATGTGTATTTTTCTAATAGTTGATACAATTTCCCTCCTGAACTTTAAAACTCAAAATAAAAGACAGAATAATTAATTACTCGTTCTTTTCTTGCTTTCAGGCGATGGAGGCGGCGCAGGCGGAGATGGCGATCCCATTGTCAGCACCAATTCCGAGAAGAAGTCAGGATATGAGACCAATCTGTATCTCTACAGTGTGAGTACAAGAAAAGTCTGGCGAGTCAAATTTTATTTTATTAAATCTTTAAACGCGTCTATTTAATTTATATCTACTGATATAAATTAATATCATTAACTTATATCATCTGAAAAATCAATGCATATCTTGATAAAAAAAGAAAAACTTTTCACTTTATCGAAAGAAAGAACGTACAGCTCAATTCGTTAACTTAATGTATAACGTTTTAATGTCACGTCACGTCGTCTTCATTAATCATTTTCTTAGTCGCTAGAATCTTCTTCAAAAGGATCATCTATTTTTCGATGCAAATAATAAAGATAAAGTCATCATTGTGTAATAATTATCATACTATAATTTAAAAAAAACGCGGTTTGCAAACAGAACTATGTATTATACTTTACTAAAAATTATTCGTCGTAAAGTTAAGAACTTCATTTTTTTGTTCATCTCTTTATAATTTTCTATATTTTCTTTCAATTTCAATTCATCATTTATTCTTATGTTTTGCGAATAATTATAATTTAAGCACTATGTTAATAATGTGTTGTCACAATGATCCATACGCTGCTACTCATTAAATATTACATAATTAACTGTTCGGAGCTGACGGTGGTTCTATTGGATTCACTCAATTATTCATCTTCTTTCATAAAGTTACGAAATATTTTCACGAAAGCTTCAGCTGTCGACTGCAATTTTCTCAATAATGTCTCGCATGAAGCTCTAAGAACGGAATTATGTGACCACTGAGAATCCTTTTCTGAATTGCTATTCTTTCATAACGAAAGTTAAGCCGCGTACTCGGAAGCTAAGTCTCTTCTCTTTTACCTTTCCTCTTGTCATCATTTCTCCTTGCAGTTTTAACGAAAGACTACTACTTTCTTTCTACCGTAAGAGAGCTGCCGGAGCTTCCTGTCCGGCACAGTTCCCTTATCTGTTCAATTCCGTTTAAAATTGCGAGCCATTATCGAGCTATGAATCTCGTGCGAGGCGAGAATATTGTGCCCCGTTCTTCCGATAATTCGTTCCATGGCGACTTTAACCCTCTCAGCACTCTCGTATTTTTCATTCGACTCGATCGAACACCACAATTGAAGATAAATCTGAGAAGGTGTACAAGTAATAGCAATATACTTTATCTCGTGTGTAAATTTCATTGAAATAATTTCAGATAAGAAAATTACAATATCTTTAAAAGAAAGGGAAAAAATAGAAAGTGAGTATAATTTCCGAGGACAGTTTAGGCATTTTGTATTTGTACTTTAATAATAATTATTTTATTTTTTTTCATTCTTCGAATCTAAGAGGTTTTAACGTGAATAAATGAAGAATGCGACTATATTCGACCTTAAAGCCTATATATCTAATAATATTTTGCATAAATCTTACAAATTCCAGTACAAGCAAACTGTGTACCGATTATTTATCGGTCTTAAAACAGTTCTGATTTATAAAAAAAATCCGTGGATTATAAAGATAGACGGAAAAATCATTGCAATTTCTTCAAGAAAATTATTGTATGTTGGGATCTTCTTAGCTTGCATTCTTCGACGTTTGTTTTACTACATTATTACATCTGATATAAAGAAATCTGTGTTTTCTGTGCAAGCGGAATACCCGCTGTCAAAAGCATGGTCGTCGCGAAATTGGATGGCAACGTGTAATACCGTCGTAACGAAGTTGCAGCGAAAACTTACACGATAAAAGACTAACAATTTCCATAAAAGAAATAAAAAAGATACGTGTGAAAGCAGTGGATTAGAGATAACACAGGAACTCGTTGCAATTTCCTAAAGAAAATCTTCTTATATTAAGAAATCTTTTTAGCTCATGTTCTCCGACGTTCTTTCTCTTACTACTCTATTATTATACATTCCATATAAAGAGATCTGTGTTTTCTGTATGATATGCAAACGGAATGCTTGGTGTGAAAAGTAGTCGTCACGAAATTAGATCGACAACGTGTAATAAGGTTGTAACGAGGTTGCAGCGGAAACTTACATGACAAGGGACTAACAATTTCCATAAAAGCGTCCCGGCGGACGGAGTTATGTGACTTTCCCGCAAAAGTTTGTCAATAAAATTGCAAATGAAGTTGCGACGTCCTTTTGGCATAATAACGAATTGAAAACAGGGGAAATTATAGCGACGGACGAGGATCGCGCTTTGTGCCGTAGGAGTAAGCATGCGAGTGATAAGAGTCGATGACTGATCGGACAAATCGTTAATCTCGGAATCGTTTCGTATTTTGTCCGACAGCTAAGTCTATACGCCACAAATGAAAATAGAAAAAGTGTCTTTATATATTTATAGCTGGATAAAAGTAGCAAAGTCCGTAGGTGATCGTACAGAAGTAGCGAGAGTCTATACGTGATCAGACGGCCGCAATTTGTAAATGTCAAGTTTGCCCTTAAATTTCGGGTAAAATATTCGAGCTGTCGAATCCAACAGAACATAAATCGTAAAGTCGTATTATGGTTTTTTACGTTTTAGAAAAGTTTTCCTTGATTGAAACATCGCCAGAGTATTTACTACCTGAAAAAACTCGGAAAATCGGAAATTTTTTGGAGACTTGTTATTCTTAAAACCAAGAATTTTCATAGAATTTTATTAGAATTTTTTAGAGGAAATTTATGAAATTTTATTTTGAAATTTTATCCTGAAAACTCTCTTTCTGAAAACATTTCTTTGATCCTTTTTTTCTTGATAATAAAAAATGTTGACAATAGGTTAACAATAAATAGCATAACTACACATCCGCGTATATTCACGTACATTCTCGCGTATATCTCGCGAGTTTTTATTATAAAAAGTCAGAATGACAATAGAAGATAATACTCAGCAGAAAAGAATAACTCACTGATATTATATTATAGTTAGTCTTACTATTCTATAGGTTTCGCAACTTCAGTTGTAGAAAACGATAGACTGGTATTCATAGTCGATTCTTATATTCAAGACTGTCTTAAATATAATCTTAAGACATCATGAAGCAATCAGAGAGCCGTATTAGCATCTTAAGACATTACTTAAGACGATCTTAAAGTATTAGTCTCATAGAATTTCAATCTTTTATTATAATTTAATATTGTATATATAATACTTTGTTTACGTTACTTGGATTACTCCAATTTATTTCAAAATGCATTAAAAGAATTGTCTAATCTTATCTGAAATTTTGAACAAAAATATTTGGAAAATTCGAAAATTTTCAAGGAATTTTTTTTTGCAAGATTTCATTTAAACACCCTGATGCATTCACGAGAATACTGCAAGAGGAGAAATACTTCGAATGAAAAACGATATTTCACTTCTGAATTGTGTAATTATGTGCAGTCGAGGGATAAGCAAAAAAAATAAATTCTTATAGGAGGAGATGGAGGATCGGCCGCGAATTTCGACGTTGCTCAACAGCTTGGCGAACTACAGCAACACCATCCCTGCCGCGACTGACCCGGATAAACCGGCCCCGGCCGCGGGAGGCGGAGCACGAATGGGTACCCTCATAGGTGTTTACTTGCCATGTATCCAGAACATCTTTGGTGTGATCCTCTTTATCCGACTGACATGGGTAGTCGGTACAGCCGGTGCTATTCAGGGTTTCTGCATAGTGCTCTGTTGCTGTTGCGTTGTAAGTATTCATTTAGAGAGTATAACTGCATGAGAAATGTAAGAAGGTCAAGATTAAAACCTTATGATTGTACAAAGCCTAAAAGTTTTTTTTTTTTTAAAAGAAATGGTTATTAATACGCGAGCCAAATAAAGTTGGAAAAATAAAAATTATATTTATTCCCAAAACAGGAAACTAAAAAATGTATAAAAGTGAAAGACTTAGGACGATTGAAACTTGCACGTACAAAATCATTCCTTAGTCTCAGTTTTACTCATTTCTTAATCATCTGTTTTGAGAATAAATGAATAGCCTATTTGTAAAAGTAGCTATCTTCACTTGACATGTTTTTTAGCGAGAGCTTATATAATTTTTCTCACTTGAACTATCAATAAAATCTTTCTTTGAAATTAAGAAAAATTTATTATTTTAATTATCAAAATGTGTATAATATGACATGAAAAACATAATTTTTATTAAAATACAATGCATTTGACTGTTTTTGTAGCTGAAGAAAGAATTTAGCTAATTTTGAAACTGAAGTATTGATGCAAAAATAATTAAATCTTAGAGTAAGTTATTGAATTAAATTTATAATTTTTATAATTTTAAAGCATTTTTATTATTCTATTAATAACAAAAGTTACATACTACATTGAAAAGAAATATTTAAAAATTTATTTGTGAGATATAATGTTTATTTCATTGAAATAAATCTTTATTTAAATACGACGAAATCAAATTTTATTCCTAAAAAATAAACCATCTATTTTATTTTTTTACAATTAATGAGATATATTTCACAGAAATGCATATTTCTCCCATCACTATCAAATGTTTTTATAACCAATAAATATCGAAAAATACGTCACATATAACATTTGCTTACGAATATTTTAATTTTTTTTCACAGTGTATATTATAAATCACATTTAGTTATTTATTGAAAAAATAGAATATTATTTCCCTCCTCTTTCATATTTATAACAAATATTTAAATAAAATATTGAACATAAAGGAAATATTGATAAAACAAATTTTATAAAAAAATAATAAATAAAACTAAAAAAAATTAGTAAACCTAATAGATTAGTCATAGTGTAACAAAATAGGGATTTAACTTTTTTTTTTGCAACTTTACCTTTTTCTCTTCTGATTTTATATAGAATTTGTAATTGTTTTTAATATTCAATTTGTAACCAAGGTTCTAAGGAGTCCAAGGATTTCAATATCTCATTTTTTTATTTTTAAATATAGTGGCATTTGCATTTCAACCACTTGCTTCATGTATTTCAACTACTCAAATATAGTTTTCATTTTCTCAACCTTATTTGGCTTTTATTATTGACCATTTTCTTTCTTTATTTGAAATCTAGAAAAGTGAAAGAGAGAAGAAACAATAAAGAGGACCAAGTATTACTGACAGATTTTCTAATTAATCTGAAAAATCGATTTTCTTTGATCAAGATATCGAGGTATTAGTATTTGAGAATCTTAGCGAGAACGGATAGTTTCTTGCGAATTGAACTTTGGGAAATGTAAACGAATTGCAAACAGCTATTCTTCGTGTGCGCAGACGATGCTGACGGCGATCAGTATGAGTGCCATCGCTACTAATGGTGTGGTGCCGGCCGGTGGTTCCTACTTTATGATCTCGAGGAGCTTAGGCCCGGAATTCGGCGGCGCGGTGGGTATGTTGTTTTATACTGGCACCACCTTGGCCGCCGCCATGTACATCATCGGTGCCGTCGAGATCGTCCTCGTAAGTATCGACTAGTTAACGAAGTTACATTAATAAGGCCTCCCGCTAATCAGTTGATCGCGATAATTGACTTATACTTTGAAGTAGGAGTGAAAGTATCGCGGTGTTTCATATTCGTTACTTTAAGATTAATTGAGGATTATCAATTATCACGTTTCAATTAATTATGCTTGCAAAATATCTGAAGCAAAACATACGTTGTTAATTGTACGTAAAGTATTACGGCAGATTCTGCATGATTCCATAAAGCTTGCGCTAGACTATGCGCGATTCGAGATAGTTTGAAATTTGAAGTTAGTTATTTATATGAGGTATGCAAATAGTGTATAGATATAGTTGGAAAATTTGTGTTAAATTTAACACACTTCACGTGTCCCAAGTGGTCCACTCAACTTTTGTTTATTTAACATAAGATGAATATGTTAGGAAGTAATTACATAAATACATATTATGTAAAAAATATAACAAAGAAATATTTTTTACTGTGTACAGTTGGAAAGTTTATTTTAAATTTCACATTTTATGTATCTTAAATAGTCTGAAATTTTTGTATTAATTTAATTCAAGATGAATATGTCCGGAAATAACACAAATATTATGTAAAAAATTAACACTAACAATGTAACAAATTGTGGAAGCATATTTCTTCACATTTATAACATTTATAATTAACACAATTTATTTATTTATCTTAGGATTTACACATTAAAATACATTATTTTTATGTTAATTATCCATTTAATCATAAATTGTATTATTTTAATATTAAGAAATATCAATTTAACAAAATATTCAAATAACATAATTACATTATATTAAATTAACACCCGAATATATTAAAAATTTAATAAAAAATTTTATTAAATACAAAGATCAATTTTGGCATAAATACAAAGTATTTTTTACTGTATAAGTGGACACGTTTATCGTTTACCATTCGCGTCAATTCGCCAGCGGGGTCATTCTTTTCAATCAAAGGGGGCAAATCACCACGAATCGCGTATAATTAATTATAGTCTGACGTAAAACTTAAAGGAACGTGCTTTTCTTGACTTTATAAAATTTTCGTTCAGACTTACATGGCGCCGTCACTCAGCATATTCGGCGACTTCACGAAAGACGCCAGCATTATGTACAACAACTTCCGTGTATACGGTTCCGTCTTGCTGATGATAATGGGCACGATTGTCTTCGTGGGTGTGAAGTTCGTTAACAAGTTCGCCACCGTCGCACTGGCCTGCGTCATTTTATCCATCTTCGCTGTTTACGTGGGACTCTTCGTAAACTTTAACGGCAACGAGTCTCTAAAGTACTAAACTAATTTACGACGCTAATTTTCGCATTATGTAGTCATTACTGTCGGAATATCGTTGCAATTATAATGCTGCAATGATATAAGTGATTACAATTATCGCGAAAAATAGACAAAAACTGGAGAACGAACGCTTTAAAGAAAAGAGATTTTGTGTTTTAGATTATGCCTGCTCGGCAGAAGGCTATTAAAGGACATCAACGTTTTCACCGATTGCAATAAAAATTTCAACGGTGCTTTGCATAATATTTACTGCAATGGCACGAAGTGCGATTCGTATTATCTCGAGAACAATATTACCATCGCCAACGGTATCCGTGGCTTGGCGAGCGGCGTGTTCCTAGGTGAGAGATCGTAATTAAATTATATCATTGATAAGAAATAACATCAATGAACGTAACGATAATGAAACTTATAAAACAAAAATGCACTCATAAAATATAAAATATATTCTCTATTTTTTACACAGAGAACATATGGGATAGTTTCCAAGAACAGGGTCAATTAATCGCTCACGGATACAACCCGAAGGACATCGATGTCCTGTCAGGATCGAGCTACAACCAGATCCAGGTCGATCTTACCACGACCTTTACTATTCTCATCGGCATATTTTTCCCTTCCGTGACGGGTAAGCAAATTAACAGCAGCGTTATATTTATGTACTTACGATAAGTCTTAATTAAATCTCCGGAGCTAAAATCTGTAACATAGTTACTGACGCTGGGTCTGTAAGACTTATTTAATTTAATTTATGCTAATGAAAAGGTACTAATTAATTTCAAGGAACTGAAATAATATAACTCATATAAGAAAGAATGAATATTAAATATAATTTAAAAGAATAATTTGCAGATATAACATAAAGAAAATTGAGTTATCTGACATTTTTTATAAAGAGATTTATAATTTAATGAGTCCAATAGACTCACCGTCAGCTATGGAGGATTAAATAATTCAAAAAGAAACTCTTAATTAACAATTAATTTATTTAAGCTATATTTTAATTGAAACCTTTGTTTTAATGTTAACGACATTAATATTTAGGTATTATGGCGGGCTCTAACCGATCCGGTGATCTGGCTGACGCTCAGAAATCCATTCCGATCGGAACGATCTGCGCGATCTTGACGACCTCCATCGTCTATCTGTCCAGCGTTCTCCTATTTGCCGGGACTGTTGATAATCTGCTGCTACGTGACAAGTTCGGTCAGAGTATTGGCGGCAAGCTGGTGGTGGCAAATATGGCGTGGCCGAATCAGTGGGTGATCCTGATCGGTTCGTTTCTGTCCACCTTGGGTGCCGGCCTGCAATCTTTGACAGGAGCACCGCGATTACTACAAGCAATCGCCAAGGACGGCATCATTCCCTTCCTGAAGCCATTCGCTACCAGTTCCAGTCGAGGCGAACCTACTCGTGCTTTGATACTTACTGTGGGAATTTGCCAGTGCGGTATCCTACTTGGCAATGTGGACTACCTGGCACCACTGTTATCCATGTTCTTCCTCATGTGCTACGGCTTTGTCAACCTTGCTTGTGCGCTGCAGACCCTGCTGCGTACGCCAAATTGGCGGCCACGCTTCAAATATTATCATTGGAGCCTGTCATTCCTCGGCCTGTCGCTTTGCATCGCTATCATGTTTATGACTAGCTGGTACTACGCATTGCTAGCGATGGGTATGGCTGGCTGCATCTATAAGTATATCGAATATCGCGGTGCCGAGAAAGAATGGGGTGACGGTATTCGCGGTCTGGCGTTATCCGCTGCCAGGTACTCGCTGCTCAGGCTCGAAGAGGGTCCACCACACACGAAGAACTGGCGTCCACAGATCCTGATCCTCGCCAAACTTACCGATGACTTGGTGCCTAAATATCGCAAGCTCTTCGCATTCGCTAGTCAGCTTAAAGCTGGTAAAGGTCTCACCATTAGCGTCAGCTGTATCGCCGGTGACTATACACAGAACTCGGGTGAAGCACTAGCGGCCAAGCAGAGCCTGAAGAAAACTGCGGCGGAAGAAAGAGTGAAGGGCTTCGTCGATGTTCTCGTTGCGAAAAATGTTGTTGAAGGACTGAGCTCATTAATACAAAACACTGGACTTGGCGGGCTAAAACCGAATACAGTGATATTGGGTTGGCCTTATGGTTGGCGCCAGGAGCGTCGCAGCCGCGAAGATGGCATTGCTAGTGCCCAAAGGCATAAACTTTTTCCCGGACTCTAGCGAGAAGATAATCGGCAACATTGACGTCTGGTGGATCGTGCATGATGGCGGCCTATTAATGCTACTGCCATTCTTACTGAAGCAACATCGTACCTGGAAGAACTGTAAGATGAGGATCTTTACGGTCGCGCAAATGGAGGACAACTCAATACAGATGAAGAAGGATTTAAAGAAGTTCTTGTACGACCTGAGAATCGAGGCGGAAGTCGAGATTGTCGAAATGGTAATCTCATTATACAGTAATTTTAATATAAGGAAAGATTGAATTCCTTAGAAAGTTTTATTTCTTGAAATGGATTAAAAATGGATTAAAAATGTTTAATAATGAAAAATGCATAATATCGCGATTACTTCGATAAATTCATTTTCCGCGTCTTAATCTGTTCGCAGACGAACACGGACATCTCCGCGTACACATATGAACGCACTTTGATTATGGAGCAAAGAAATCAGATGCTACGCGAGTTGCAACTGAACAAGAAGCAGTCATTAGGAGTGGTAAGTGTTGAATTCTGGATAAAAAGGAAAAATTTATTATACTAATATGTACAGGCATATAATGTTAAGTAACAACAAATGGTGACGGTGATACTGATCGGTGTGTCTGTTTGTTACGTGCTCCTCACGGATAAAGGTGCAGGGATTGGTGGACTTCAACGAGGTACCCGCCGAGGAAAAATTACCTCTGGTTTGTCAGATTACCCCCGGAGTTCCATGTATGCCTCTTTCCCGTCATTGCTCTCCATTGCATCGATAATTTTATATTGTGAATTCCTCCCCCATAATATATCAAGTAACACGTTCATTCCTATTTCCATTTAATATCAAAGTGGGAGAAACGACCGCGGATCGCAAATTAATATTTTAGTGTAACGAATTAAATACTTTTTATAAATTACAAAACTTTAAATTAAAAACATTATATTATGAAAGTTCGCAAAAAGTTGATTTTTAAAATGAAATAGTAGACACAGTGTGAAAGTAAAATGCTTGAAACTTCTGCTTTGCAAATTTAAACTTTTAATTTTCGAAATTCAATACTAATCTGAGAAAATTCTTGGGTATTATATTATTTTATTCAGCGATCATTCCAGTTTGTTTCTTCCTATCCATGATAATCTCAGGAACTCCCCGCGTTTCTCAGTTTCAGCTTAATTGGCACGATCGCTTACATAGATATAGTATTGATTTTATGGCCATAGTGCTTTGACGCTAGATTAGTCACCTCTCAACTGACTGTCTCCTACCACAGAATAAAATATTTTCTTATTCGCTTAATTGCGTTATCATGATATCAGGTACAGGCGATCGTAGATCATCACCACAACGTGGATGCCAAAGTGCCAACGAAAGTGAGATTCCAAGAGCCGGGCAACCAGAGTACAAACATAACCGACGACACGAAGCTGATGCAGGAAACCGAATTAAATAACAAGGAGGACGCTGCCGAGGAGGCAAACGAGAATGATGAAGCTAAAGAAAATAACGAAGAGACAAAGCTGATTGGCGGCTCGCCCAAAGCGGAGAATAAAGAGAATACGGAGAAGGAAGCGAAAGAGGCGGAAGCGAAAGAGGAAGAAAACGACGCGCAGGAAAACAAAAACCAAAGTCCGGAGATTAAAAAACCTACAATTACACCGTGAGTATCATGATTATTTTTTTTATTTTGGCAACGATTTGTTTTTTAACAAATAATTCTGTAATAGTGACGAGGGTGACGTGAGACGTATGCATACTTCGTTGAAGCTGAACGAAGTAATTCGTAAAATGAGTAGCGAGGCTCAACTGGTTATCCTGAATCTTCCCGGACCGCCACGGGACACGAAGATGGAGCGTGAATCTAATTGTATCCTTTTGATAAAAAATATGCATAGTTTTAAAAAATTATCATTTTGTTATAAAGATACGAATTATACAGGCCTGCGATGAAAAAAACTTTTTTAAGAATTGTAGCTAGTTTTTTTAATATATTTTAATCTGTTGAATACGAATTCATTATCCACAATTGGCTATCACGTCATAATTTCGAAAGAAATAACGTCAGAAAAGCAAAAAACGATCATGTGGGTTTTCACGATGTAATATAACAAATTTTTTCTAAATTTCGTTAATGTCATGAAAGTATCAACTTTTAAAAATGCATTTTGTTTCATTTCGATATGATTTTTCGTTTTCATTATGCATTAAAGCTAAAATCATTAAAGAAATTTTTTCATCACAGGCCTGTGTTATTAGCTAATAAGTGAGAGATAAATTTCGGAGTAAAAAAACTTACAGTTAATTTACGGAAAAATAGAAAAGATCATTAAACTTCCTTAACTGCCGAAAATCAGATATGGAATTCCTCGAGGTGCTCACCGAAGGCTTAGAAAGGGTACTAATGGTGCGGGGTAGCGGACGGGAGGTGATCACCATCTACTCGTGAACTAAAGCGACGGGAATTAATGCCGTTGTCTTGCGGAAGCAGAGCTCTAGTTTACTTCTCAGTGACCTAAACGACACTACCTTAAGGAACATACTACTCTTGTGCCATTGTCTGCGGCAGTCACTTGCGCCGCGCACTCTGAAAGTCGTTAAGGAGAAGAGAATGACGACGACGACGATCGTTCATATCGGACATGAAAAACGAAGTTTTACTGAAGCTGACTTATTATATGGACCGCGATGATCATTCGTTATCCAATGATGAAGCCAAACGCGATGATGCCAAAGGATAGGTTTTTCTTTGAATGAATTTTTGAGCGTAGAATGTGCGAGTTTATGTGTCAGGTATGTACGCGTCAGAAGGGGGTCGCATACGGCAGCGAGGGCTGCTCAGATTCGAATTCGACAACCTGTCGAGCTCGACCGAGCTCGTCGGACAGAGCGCACTTCTCAGAAAAATCGCTGGTACCAAAAAAAAAAAACTGTAGCTCAATGAGACAAGTCCCGAGTAAAACGTCACTTCGATTCAATTTCTCGCAACTGTTAAAAACCACGTCTAAAACGAAGAAAAGAATAAAAGTAAGAAAATGGCAAAGAAAAAGGGGGGAAAAATCAAAATTTGGTCCGAGGCTAAGGTCGAAGCATCTACGAAACCACTGCCAGACTACTTTCTAAATGCTTCGCGTTTAACCAAAGACGCGAGAGGCTCATTTTTCTACATGCATTGTCGTTAATAGGGAAAGACTTGATATAGGTGAATCTAGAGTAGCCTAGGATAGAGCCGACTTTTATTATGGTTATATATATAATATATGTGTATTTGATAATAGAGAACGACGACGAGTATGTCGCGAGTATTATTGCATTTCCTTCGGGGATTGGGACCCCGCTCTTTTTTCCAGTCTCGCGCGGAAATCTTTACGTACATACACGCAAAGACGTACAGACACATATTCGTACACACATTCGCGCGCGTTTGTATCGTCTTTAAGGCCTACCGGTCCAAGATGCCATTACCACTTAATCGATAACACCAAGTGAAGTTGAATCGTGACACGAGGAATGCAACCCGAAAGACTCAATGCCAAAAATACGCGGCGATCTTACCGAATCTCATCGAAAAAAAAAAAAAATATATAGTGCTAGCGTATGTAAAAATAATTCTAATCGCATTAAATGTCGTGTGCATGTCACGTTTTGCGCGTAGCCCCGTTTTCGGCCGCGCTTCATTTAGATAGGCCTTCTCTAATAATACTTAATTGATCAGCGAGCGCACGAAATGATCACGTCAGGTAATCGCCTTTCTCAGTTTCTTCGACGTCACCGGCAAATCGAAACGTTTTTATTAAATTACGTCTTGACGAGACGTAATATTTATTAAATTAATGAGAATAAATTAAATTCTTTATCAATGTTAAAAGAGAGAGGACAGAAAGATTAATCTAATACAAGTCATTCTCGTCTCTAAAGCTATTTAAACTAAAGAATTGATTTTAATTTTTAGATTATCGATCTGGCACTAATTGCTTTTTACCGTTGGCGTAAAATTGAATAATTTCATTTGAATCATTTTTATTCTTAAAACGATCAATCTTATTTTATTCTTAAAATGATCAATTTAATTTTAATTTTCTGACTATCAAAACGACGTTAAATTCTATTTAGCGCCGAATGATTCTTTGGACTTTCTTTAACGAAAGAAAATCTCGATGAAAGGACTGAGAAAGAGATAACTATGGGACTAGCGTTCAATGTAATATTTATCGATACTTAATACTACTTAATCAGTGTCCGTGAGTAAGTTAAATTGTGCTAAGATTACGCGGGATTGCGCAGCACGATTTGTCAAATTTCTCCAAAGTTTTTGCAACTAGCGAAACGATCAAGGTGATGAAAACAGTCATTTTGACTGTATAAGATGTAACGAAATTATCGAGCCTTTTCGCTAATCTGATTTTAAAATGATTGTTTCAAAATCATGAAATTGATAACTCTCGAAATAACTCTCGAAATAATCCGATTTTCTAATTAATTTTTTGATTCTATTAAATATTTAATTACAAATATAAAGCATACTCGCTGTTCAAAATTAAAATGTTGCAATATACAATAAATGAAATCTCACTTGAATTTTTACTGATTGTGAGAGAAATTTATTTCTTCCTAAATAACGCTATTTAGGAAGAAATAAAAGCGCGATGGTTTCGGATGCATTCTTGTATATTGTATATATACATATATATGTACATTCACATGTTCATTGTAAAGTACATGCACTGTCCTACAATACCCGTAGTTAGCGAAAAAGAAGACGTGAAAACGTTGATTATGATGACCATATGAAAGTGTATTATTATTAAAAAACGGGTGTGCGCGAACCGACATCGCTAACCCGCTAGTGACAAGTAGACAAAGAAGAATATTTAAATTAACGGGTTTGAGAAGAGATTCCTATAATATATCCCACGCGTTTAAATTGTTTTACTTTTGTCTTCGTAACTCCGACGTGAATTCGAATTACGTCGAATGCCCTAAAGCGAGAAGAAAGAAAGAAGGAGGCGTCGTATCAATGAAGAATATTTCAAGATTTGATCCTTGACTTCACGAAAACGATCATCGAAAGAGTAACGAAATTCTCGTCTTGACGCCAGTTCGACGGATACACGCAAGCAATATATATCTTCACACCGATTGCATCATGACGAACGAGTATCTGAAACAGAGCTGGATACATAGGGACTTTAAATGTATAGGAACTATATATATATATATATATACATATACATTATCTTCCTCTCTCCCTATAAATATATATATATATATGTATGTATCTCTCTCTCTCGTCCACGATGTTTACAACATGTACTTTATAATTTTATTACGTTACTTATCGATTGCATATATTTTATGTGTACTTATCTTATTCGATAGGTATTGGCACTGCATAGTTTATACGAGACATGTTGATATTATGAGAAAGTTTATCGCGAATATACTCGAGTCGAACTGTTGCCGGATAAAGCCCTCTACACGTTGTATATAAATATATAAATAAAAGAAAAAAAAATGGAAAAAAGGAAAACGATCGTGTGTTTATTGTAAAGGATTTAAAGAGGAATATAAAGAAGGAGGAGAAAAAGAATAGAAAAGTAAGGAAGAGGAAGCGAGAGGATCCTTTACACAGATCGAACAGTATTGCAGTGTTCTGCTGCCGCTTTAATATTTTACTATGTCATATTTACTTTAAATGCACAATGACCACATGGCACACAATGCGTACGTGTAATATATATATATATATAGAATACATATATATTTGGCCGGTAAGAATGAAAATGGTGCGAGGCAAGAATTAGAGAATAATTCCGAATCGGCGGTCTGGCCGTACCGCGATCCTCCGCTCTCCTTAGTTTAATAGCGAAATTCGATAGAGTATAAAGATGACTTACACCGCATTCATTCTATTCGGCTGATAGTGCGTGTTATCGGCAGCAAAAGATGCACCCGACGTTCCGCGGTTTACGTTCGCTTTGCGGAAACAGAATGGTACTTGGAACGCGTTCTCCATCTCCGTTAATATCAAGAGTAACTCCTTGTAATTGCATCTCGTAGAAGATAGATCGCAAAAGACTGAATAAGTGAACTGTGACGGAAAACACAGTGAGACACGTATGCGACCCATTGTGAATAGATAAAAAATATGCGCACAATACTTTGGCTATAAAGGAGTTCCTCCCATTGCTGCAAAATAGAAGATAAGATAGTTATTTCGGATGACAAGTATAAGCGAGAGTCAAACCGCGAATGTAACTGCTTCGTCTTACTCGTTGATTAATGGAGAATATTTAAATGCTGTTGGAAATTTGTTCTGTTTCTGCAGCATATTTCGAACCCTTACAGAAATCCAGTTTAACTTTCGATTACAGCAACGAGTCATTTAGAATCAAAGCGAAAAATTTTAGACGGTGGCACAATCTGTATGATTGCTATTATGAGAGTAAGTAAAAAAACTTTGAACCTTCCTCTGTCTATCTCCGTAAGCAGGAGATTCACTTGTAATCTGTACTTTAATCAGAACGCTTTAAAATTTAGGTGTAGTTTTTATAGCTGTAATTGAGGATTAATACTGACTTATTTAATACTGGAAGTTACTTATTTTGAATATTAAAAAGTACTAAGCAACAAAATAAGTAATTAATCATTATCTTCCAGTATTAAATTTCTGTAAGAGAATGATACGAAGCGCGAGAATATTCTTTCTTCCAAAGAATATGCAAAATTATTCGATGATCGCAGACTCCCAATCAACAGACGATGTTTTTAAAATATATATTTTTTAATATGTATTTTATACTCTCTCTCTAAAAATATAAATATTAAAAATATATCAATAAATAAAAGAAGGGCTACGAGCCAATTAAAATATAAAGAATATTTAATATTATTCGTATAAACGTTTCGACGCCGATCGAGTCATTTTCAAACAAATAACATTACATAAGTTGTCGAAATATTCGGTCAGATTACAGTATCCAGTGAAACGTATCGGTTATTTCTGTATTCCTTATTATTTGATGTGTGTGGTCGAATATGTAAAAATTAGCATCATTTGACTGATATAAAAGTGATCTCATCTTATTTTTTAAAATTTACAATCTTACAAATTCACATCAAAATAAAATTAAACATCAAATTAAAAATATATATTTTTAAAACATCGTCTGCCGATTGGGTCCAAGATCGATTACGAGATATTCTCGTCTTTGCAGAGTATATCTCTGAAGTATTCCCAGAGTACTTTCTGAAGAATATCCTCTTCGAGGAATAGTCTGAATATTTCCGAGACGCTTTTCTCGATAAAAGTTCTTTTGAGAAATATTTTCGTGCGCGTCTTCGGACGTGAATCGCGGGCGGCGGAAGTGCACTCTGCTGTTAAGGACTTAATAATCGTAATACCTGCGGGCTTGGCATTTGTCGGGGTATAGTGCGGCGTTTTACGGCGCGTCCCATTTAAAATGGGGTCGCGCCCTGGATTTAAATCACCTCTAGGCTGTGAGATGCGAGCTAAGCAGCGGACAAACTTGCTCGAAACCTCAATCATATGTGTCAAATCAAGTATAAATCTACTTTTAATGTATATCGTATAACCAATTCAAAAAAGGAAGGAAAAAAGAAAGAAGGAATCCTTTTACCAAAGCTCCCTTGTGACGGGAGAATACACACGACTTACTTAATTCTCTAACTCCAAAAACTTCGACGATTTCTTTCTACCCTTGGGGACTCGAATAAAGAAATATATTTATTGACTCCCACATGGGAAAGAGAAAAGAGAATTGAAATATTGATATATATAGAGAAATAAAGATGTTATTAAATATACATACAGAGCGGACCTGAGGCGAAAAAAGGGGATCGACGAGAGAGACGTGTCCTCGAATTTGAAGCAATTATTTCCTTAACATCTTTTCGCGTTAAGTATTTTGACTTAAGTATCTTACTTAAGTACCTTATTATTTAGATTTGCGTATTAAAACAAGTAAGACTTTGTCACTTGCATCTTTAATATCGAACGTACTTAGTACTCTCGACTTTAAATATCCATGTACTCTTATACGATTAAAGTATTCGTTAAGGAAAATTTAATCCCAAAGTTCGTTGACACATCCCTATCACAGATCCCGCCTCTTTTGGTCCACATTATATATATATATTATAAATATATATGTATACTATATGTA